CCCCCCCCCCCCCCCCCCCCTACGAATTACTACGCTTGCCCCCGACCCCCTTGACGATGGATACCAGGCTTCGGGAACTGCTTTGCCCGGACGGGTGCGTGCTGTTCCCACTGCTAGCAAGAGACTGCCGACTAGTGGTAGGGAACGGGTAAAGCCACTGTCTGTTTCGCTTCTCCCTCGCACCCATCCTACTATTCGAGCGGAATGGGTAACCACTGCTGGGTGTTTCGCGAATATCTGACCCTCATCCTATCCTGATGGGTAAAACCGCAATCTACGTAGCTTCCCCGTCGTCCTCATCCTTGCCCTGACAGGGCAAAGGGAAAAACCGTTACGGAATCTATCTGGTTTCCCCCTCACCCTGAGCCTATCCTGGCTGGAGAACGGGCAACACCGTCGCGATATCTATCTAGCCTCCCCCTCACCCCATCCTAGCAAGGAATGGGCAACGCCGTTACCGTATCTAGCCAGGATCCCCGCTCACCCCAATCCTACCCTGGCACGAGAATGGGAAAAGCCGTTTCGGTGTCTATCTAGCGTCCTCCTCACCCTATCCTATCCTATCCTATCCTGTTACAGCAGGAGAATGGGCAAAACCGTTTCCGTATCTATACAGCTCCCCCTCACCCTAATCCTACCTGGCACGAGAATGGGCAAAGCCGTTTCGGAGTCTATCTAGCGTCCTCCTCACCCTATCCGATGATATTATAACAGGAAAATGGGCAAAACCGTTGCGGTATCGATACAGCTTCCCCCTCACCCTCATCCGGTCGACGAGGACATCCACCAGCCCGCTCGACTTCTCATGGTACAGCTCCTGCTGGAACATGGAGCCCATCGCCTATCGTTTTATTTTCGGGGTGTACGCAACAAGCGAAAAAAAAGGGGGGGCAGGGAGGGTTCAAGAGCAACCTGCGTTGAGCGTGGAAAAAGCCTCCTGAAACGCCAACGTCAAAGGAATACCAGGTACATAGGGGTAGGGAGGGTTCAAGAGCAACCTGCGTTGAGCGTGGAAATAGCCTCCTGAAACGCCAACGTTCAAGGAAACCAGGTGCGTGTCACGATCAGACGGCTATCCCCACATCTCTCGTCCTAGATCTCCGGATATCGCACGACTCAGACGACCTGGAAGGTGTCAAAAGTTTTTGCGTGCGTAGATCTACGGAGATCGCATGACTCAGGCAACACACCCATGTGTGCATGCATAGATCTACGGATGTCGCGCGACTCAGACAACACACACCTGTCAACGCGTTTGCACGCATAGATATAAGGAGATCGCGCGCAAGATGTTAGCATGCATAGATCTACGGAGATGGCACGACACTCAGACAAAAAAAACACACCTGGAACGCGTCCAGGTGTTCCCAGTCCGAGGTCGGCCGCGTGCCCTGCCCGTGCACGTGTCTCAGCGATCCGTTGTGGCTCCAGGTCCTGACCCGACCACCAGCATCGCCGGCGTCCCCGGTGAGAAGCGAGGCCATCCTCTTGTCCTCCAGCTGCTTGGCGATGCCGTGCTCGTCCCAGGTGGAAGACCGCTGCCTCGTTCGCCGGTAGTCATCTTCGTCGTCGTCGTCGTTGGCGGCCGCGGCGACGGCGGCGGCGCGATTGCTTGCTGCTTGCTCGGCGAGCCTTCTCGTCGTCGCGATCTTCTTTCTCCTGTAACAAGCGGTCCCAGAAAATAAACTCAAAAGCAAGACTGCTCGTTCGCCGTTGAATTTCACCCGCACACCAGACACCATTTTGCGCGGTTGGGGCGGGGGGTAACGTCTCTTGTGTCGAATTTCCGGAAAAAAACGTGATCCACCACCACTTGGAAGAAACACCGTCACACCACACTCATTGTACGCATCGATACCTTTGGGAGGATGTTCTCAGCGCCACGATGTCTTTCCTGCCGCCGCGCCCTTCTTTGAGCGGGGCAAGGCCCGAGATCACCCTCCTGCGGTGCAGTGCCGGAGACATGACCAACCCGTCGGGGCTCTCCTTGAGAAATAGCTCGCCGGAGTTGGCGCGCGTTCTGCGGCACGTTTGTGAGGAGGGGGAGGGCGTGAGGAGGGGGAGGAAGGGGGAGGGAGGGAAGGGTTGAAGGTGTACTGATGTAAACGCATGCCGTAGTCGTTAGGCCATTGACCTCGCACCCCTACGAAGCCCGACGGAGCACGCCGGGTTCTCACCGGACCAGGCTAACACATCACGCGAAGCGGTCGGGTGCTTGACGCGCCCTCTGCGGCATGTTTGCAAGGAGAGGGGGGGGGGGGGGGGGGGGGG